TAATATTAATATACTTACGATATAAACTGTTATACAATAAAGAAGCGAATGACAATTGCAGATACATTTCAAATAATAAACATTTTGAGATAATAAAATATTCATATGTGTGATCAAATGTAAACAGTTACAGTTGTCTATATCGGAATAATGTTAGATGTTATTATAGTTATAATAATAATAATATATTATAATATATTATATAATATATTATAATATCTATCTAATATATTATAATAATATTATAAAATTTATAATATTATTTTTATATTATGAAATATTAAATTTGCTTTTTTTATCAATGCAGATTGTTATAGGCACTTACTTGTTTGGTTTTTTCAGACCATTAGTCCTGGTTCTGTAAAAACAAATATATTTGAACATTCGGATGCAATGAGAGACTTCTTCGAGAAAACAGGTGAAATTCTTCAACCGTCAGACATAGCGGATGCAATCATTTACGCTCTTGGAACACGACCGGAAGTTCAGGTTCAAAGGATTGTTAATTAACGTACTTGCTCTTTAATAAATATAGGAATATCATTTTACATGTTACTTAATTTCAGGTTACGCATGTTACCATTCAGCCCACCGGGGAGTCTCACCATTGAGAATCGCAAGACAGTAATTGTCTTTGAATTTTCGTTTATTCCAATTTTTAATATTAACACACAAATGCTTTCTAAAAATGTAATGTCAGTTGAAACATATAGTAACATCTGAAGATCAAGTGTAACCAGTTGTAAACAGTATTGTTTAAAAGAATAAATAATTACTGAAAAGTTTCATTATTCAATAATGTGCGTTTGTATAACCATTACTGTATTTATTATAACTATCATTACTATTTTTAGTATTTGTTCTATCGCACAACCTCAGATATACGGGATCAATTAGTTACTGTACACTACAGTAACTTGCATTATATCGTAATCGTCTGATTAGCTCAACATTAGCAAATTAAGCCGGAATCTTAGATTTGAATCCCGTTGTATCAAATGGGTCTTTAAATATTGTAAAACATTACACAATTAAAAATAAATTAAAACATAAATTAATAAAATTTAGTATATATGATAAAAACAATGAATATAGATTGAATTATAAAAATTAAAAATAAAGAAATTAAAACAAAATCTTATTTTTTGTTTTAAATATTATCCTGAAATCATTACTGGTAATCTTTAATGATTATGAAACAATACATTACTTTTCCGATACAGGATTGGAAAACAAATTTTAACTATCAAACTGTATTTGTTATTGTATCTATAACAGTTATTGTAAAACCTATATCGCTTATTAGAAGAATGTTTACCGTAGTAGTAAGTAATGATTACTGTAAAAAAAAAATAAAAGTTGAGAGAAAACAAAAATATAATTAATTTTTCCTGTTTTTCAGCTCTCAATACATGAAGAGTATCTTAAATATGATGCTTCAGTATGATAATGTTTTCAACGTATCAACTTTACAAGAAACAGTTTAATTCTAATAACAAAGTAAAAAACTTGGGACTTGTAAAAATATTAAGCTTTCATGTTGCTATCCATTTTCTATATGAATATAAAATTTTTTACATCTAAGTTGTTGTTTATTGTACTATTACCCACGTTTCACTTAATAGTTTTTAATATAATCTCTTTTAATATACACGCATTCTTAGCTAAATAGCGATAAAAATAAATAATCCAATAAAATTTGAAATAAGGAATTTGAATATATTTGTGTGTTTTATTGTAATATATAAAAAATGGCACTGTAAACATATTTTTCATGTATTTGTACAATGCAGAAATGTATACTCGAAAATATTTTATGCTCAATATTGCCTGAAGATAAATATCGACTCGACTATCAGATACTGCTATCGTTTTTCTCAAGCGATGCCTTACACTTGTAGTAAGTATATAAACGAAATTCAGATTTGTGACAAATTTTGCAATGTTACCGGCAATACGTTCACGTGTTATCATTGTATTCAAATTTCGACGAAATGGTTGCTACTGGACGAAATGGCCAATAGTTACAAATTAGAGAATGTTCGCTAATATTAGCTTACAGAGAACTATTATACATATGTGTATATCTACTCGTTTATGTATTCACAAGGTCTTCGACATCAAAGACCCTGTTGGCGAAAGAATAATTCCGCTCAATTTAAAATCGTTATACCTACAATCTACACATTAACGCATCGTATCAGCGATACGTGACATTGAACTGATACGCAACGTTGATATTATACGATATGCGATTACGCAATAAGTCTGTACGCGTCTTTATGTTCTGTAAGTGCAATTGCAATTTGCCATTGGCAGTCGCCAGTCCGTATCTGTAGATTGTCTGATATTTAATCTGGTACATCAGACATTTTTCCTATTTTTATCACAAATTTATCCCGGAATATAGTAATTTCCACTGTGCATTTCATATCAGTTCTGTTGACGGTTGAAAATAGAAAATACGCAAGTAAGTATATATACTTTAGCATTGTTAATCGAAAATTTTCACAAATTTATTATTGAATTTATTGTTGCTACGATTGTGAATCCTTATGAATATGCCTTTTACGAGATTGATTTTTTGGCTTAGTAATTATTAATGACAATCGCGAGCTACGTTGTACTTGTAGACAGACAATTATGCTTCGTTGGCGTGGTAAAATCGCAGTCGTTACCGGCGCTGCATCCGGTATCGGTGAAGCAATTACACGTGGTCTTCTGCAAAATGGAGTGAACGTGGTTGCTCTGGATATCC